CTCATATTGTGGCAGAAACCCAGCAGGGAGAGGCCAGGTGGGGCAAGTATACAGCAGAGGCAAGGGGAAAATGGTGATTAGGGATTGGTCATGGAAAAAACTGTCTTGGGATTAGGGATTGTTATTTTTAAATGACTGGGAGGGATGAGCAAAGAAAACAGAAAAGAGTTAAGGAGGGATACAAATGTGTTAAAAGGACAAAGGGAGGGGAAGACGGGCTCAATCAAACGCTGTATAGGACTGCCAAGATGCTAAAACAGGGCAGACAGATACAGAGTACAAGAAGAGCACATGGAGGAATGCAGTAAATCCCCGAGCGGCCGAACAATCCTCTGGAGAAAGTAAAGAGGAATTTTTATGTGCTGCAGGTGAGCAGAACGGAGAAGGGAGGAGGGTGCAGAGACGGAGATAGACAGATGGAAAAAGAGGAGCGCGGGGGTGGCCCAGGGAATTGGAGGGAAGCGTGAAAGGGTTCAATTGTAGCGGAAAGAAAAAAATCAGGGGACACGCAGGGTGAGAAGAGAGAAAATGACACAAAGTGGTTTAAAATGGCTACCCAGGTGGACAAGATGGATGGACATGGGGAAAGAGGCCAAATGAGGCAGAGGACTAATGTTAAGAAAGAGAAAAGACAAATTGAGAAAGGGCCCGACACAGAGCAGGAGTTAGGACTAACTACTTTGAGAGGAGCTTCCATGGTAACTTTTACAGTCATTTGAACTAGTAAGTCTAGTATTGCGTTTAATAAAAAATCTGGTCTGTTTTGAATTGAGTATGTTTAGATGCAAATGGTCTGTGATTATTTAGAAACTTTTTACCAACCCACACATGACCTTTTTAAGTGTAGAGGATTTACTCTAAAAGTCAAGTGTTTCAAAGACAACAATAAAGATGGGGTTGGTTTGGAAATGCTGCAAAGGGCATATAAAAGTTTTGTAGCATGGCAGTTGCACAGACTCATCTGGGGCTGAGATCAGAGGCTGCCCGTCAGACAGACAGCACATGTGCAGCGGGTTTAAAGCAGAGACACACTGTTCTTCTTTCAGCAGCTGCTTCATGCACCTAACAAGCCAATAATGTCAATGGCTTGTCAATCACTTTATCTATTCTTATCAATAGTCTCCAGAGTCAGATCCTATAGGCCACTAACGGGGCCTCTCTCTCCTGTAACATATTAGTTACAGCAATTTGTCTGAACTCTGCTGACAGACACAACAAGAGCAGGAAAAGCAGACAGATTTGTGCTGAGTGATTGTTGGTAGATTGCAATGCATGACAAGTCTCTTTCCAATGAAGCTGCCGTACAATCGAGATAATGATTCACACACATGCTGTGTTTGCAAGCCCACACAGGGGCACACACTACACCCGTAGTCATCCATGCAGCCAGCACACAAAGCTGCCTTTGTCGACGACTGGCGGCCTCTCAGTGACTGCTTTCTGAATGTAAAAAACACAGCATCCTATGCTTGAGTGTGTGTGTAGGGGTGGTGAGTTAACCCTTAGCCCTGTTCAATGACAGTAAGGTTGTGTAATCAACTCCCCCATTGATGTTATTTCCGGAGTGTGACTAATAAGATCTTATTTAATATTTAACTAAATAATGCTAGAATAACTAGCAATTGTCTTTCCAGGTTTTTTCTCCTCTAATAAAATTCTTGAACAGCCTTACATACTGTTTAAGGCTGGTCAATAATTGTGAACTGTTTATTTGTTATCTAGCATAATGAATCATAACAAATATTTTTGTTCAGTTGGTACTGCAAGTGTCTTTTCCACTTTTGGCGAATCAATATTAATAATAAACATGTTCAAAGATGTTTTTGTTCAAAACAAAAGTAAGTGGAGGAGAGGGATATGCCAGCAGCACAGAGCACAGGATGGGAGAGAGATGTATGGTCAAAGATTGTTTGGCCCTGTGTCTTCTCTGAGAGAGAGCCTGTGTGTGTGTGTGTGTGTGTGTGTGTACTTTGGGTTGTGTTGAATGAGTCTGCATGAGTTGTGTTGAATCGTCTGCTTCGTACAACGTATGTACACTACATTGCATATACATAAACTTGAAAAAATAAATGACTGTACTACACTATACTAAATATAGAGTGTTCATATCCACAGGTCTCTCTCAGAGGTGAAGGCTGAAGTCCTTCGGGCAAGTGTCTGAGTGGGTCCTAATACTATTGAATAGCTTGAATGGTAGAGAACGTATACAATAAAAGTGCCCCTTTACTGTCTTTTTGTATTGCATGTATGGTGCCTTTCATCATTTGTTTCTCTTTTCCAATTCATTTGAAGTTGGTTCTGTTTTAATCCTTATGCCCTGCTCCATTAGTTTACCATATTTGTCTAAAGCATTAGGACAGAGCAAACAGAACAAAACAAATGACACAAAACATAATCATGTACACAATAGATATTATCCAGTTTAAGTTGCTGTAGCTCCAGTTGGATGTTTTAAAGTTGTGTACTGTACTTGCCAAACCAGTATAATGCTCCTCTAATGTGCATTTAGGATTATTTCTGTCAGGGGGACACTGTGTGGTCGGGTGCAGGTGTGTCCCTCGGAGGTGATGGAAAGAGAGATTCTCATTGATCCTTTAATATGTGCCCCGGGGCAGTGGAGCACATAGTTAAAAAGGTTCAATGAAATAAAGGCAAGAGAGAATAGGAAAAGATGTCATAAAAGAGCGAGACCACAAAACAGATATCATGCAATGGGCGGATTACACAAGATAGAAGAGATTTGAGGTGGCTATCACGGGATTACCAGGGTGTCTTTGTACCTGGGACTGGTTTGGCTCATGTAAATCTCTCAACGTCACAGCAACGGGAAATGTTTTTGGAAGGAGAGCTTCGTGAGATAATGATCCCAAAAGGAAAGAAAGGAAAGGGGAAGGGATCAATGAGAGGTGTCAGACAAAGATGAAAGGCAAAAAGGGACATCGTAAATTTTCACCAGGACAGGCTAATAATAAACTTGCATCCTGCCTCCCTGGCTTTGTTTTAACACATGAATTTGAGGCAGTGTTCAGCTCCCCCCAAAAGCCAAAACTTCTCTGAACAACAAAAAATCAAACATTGACTTTGTCGTAATGTGTTGCCAAATGAGCGCTGACAAGACATTGTGTACAAAAGCTACGATTTATTCTTTGAGTATTTTCACACAGTAAAAATAATAAATAAACAATTCTCAATAAATACTTTAGAGATATATTCAACATAAGCCACAAATTTCAAGGCACATCGCAGAGACACAATGGACTTCTTGAATAACAAAACATGCAGGTTTGTTTGTGCAGTTGCTACAGAGGAAAATCTAAGCCGTGGATGTAAAGCCTGTAATTGTCAAACATTCTTAAGGCCCGTAGCCTGTCGACTAAAGTTGTTTTTCCTCATTCCCTTTCTTGTATCTTACATTAAAAAATGTAACAATTCAACAATTTTATTTTATAATCTTCTTGCTTATCTCTATTTCAATGTTGTTTATAAATGACACGCTTATTTCTCAAAACTGCTTATAAAGAGGGACATTTTGTTCAATGTTTTCTTTAACAGCCTTTCCACAAATGTGACCGAATAACGTGGCCTGGGGGCATCACCTGCTTCTCTCAATGGACAGTTTTTATGCTATACTGTGTGGCAAAGAAATAGCATCTTTGTGGACAAAACAAATACAGTGCACTTTTTGGTATTTTTTTCATGGCTGGTTTGCTGAAAACATTGTAACAAATATTATTCAGAGCATTTTAGGTTATATAGAAAATGCTGGTATCAACATTTTGTCAAACCTTCCTGTGAATTTCAAAACAATCGCAGCATGTAAAATACATAATGTAATTGAACTTAATACAGTGAGGTGAACAATTTGGCGAAATTTGGTAAATTAGCAACATTATATTAGAGTGCATGTCCAAAAAAGCAGCAAATAAAAGATACATTTAAAACACACAATGGCGTGGTTTCTTTCTATGACCACCTTTTTTCTGGACAGCATGTGTAGCCTTGTTGTAGAGTTACTGTAACCATGCGGGCGACTGGATTACTCAGCATCTTGTACCCGCTTGACTCACGCCTCCTCCGGTCCTCCTCTGCTTCCTCTCTCCTCATCGCTGCGTTCCTCATCCTTGGGCCATTTCCTTTTCTTTTGTCCCGTACCCATTCACAGTTTTCCCTTCATGCTTTGGAACAATGTGAATGTTTGCTGATTCACTGTTGTGAGGTCACTGAATCAGACACTTCTCAATGGCTGCCCTGTCTCTGCTGTCGCCGATCGCTCATTTGACCCCTGTCTGTCTGACAAGAAGGCCTTCATTTTAGACATACAGTTGTTTAATTGGTCAATAGTGTCTCATTTCTTTAAATTTGTGAACAATTAGGCTGCAAATCATTATTTTATAGTTGTCTGGCTAATGACATATTTTAGATTTCCATGTTTAGAAGGTTGACATTGAATTATGATCATGGAAGTTTTCTTGATGGATATTATCTGCTAATATAGTGGATATTTGGGTGGCACGGGGGCATGTTCTCCCTGTGAATTTGTAGGATTCCTCCGAGTGCTCCTGTTTTCCTTGCCACTAAAAACATGTACAATAACTCCCCTCTCTCTGGGAGAGAGGACTTTTCTGAAAAAGAGATTCTAAAATCTCAGTGGGACTTTCCTGATGGAATTAACGTAATTCAATTTGATAAGAATGAAACATATTTCAGAGAAAGGGGAATTCATTGTGAGTTCAACTACATGTGAGTTCAACTACATGTGAAAACACGGCGTATCAGTAGTTACATGAACTCCCAAAAATGTCAGCGGAGTTACCAACAAATGTGTTTCTATTTATATTTGAAGCGCAAGCATGTGTTGAGTGAGATGTGTTTCTTCAATCTTTATAAGGTCAAACATCCTTCATTCCTGCCTTCCAGTTCAAAATGAATCAATAATTTCTGATTGCCGGTTTTCCAGTCTTATTTGATTTTGTGCAAATAATTATAACCCCATTTCATCCTCAGAGTCTCTTTTTGAGGCGATTAAAGTCCTTAGCAGACCGCCACAACCAGCTCTGCAGTTCACGCAGTATCCAAAAACCCTCTACTTTCCGGGCAAAGTCATTCATCGAGGGTCGTACCGATAGAGAAGACAAGGGAGGAGGTGACTGCAGAGGATGCGAGTAAAGGTCTTTCCGTAAAGACAGCGGCACCGGCTGCGGGAGTAGAGTGTGCTCCTCTCCGGTCCCAAACTCGTACAGCAGAGAGAGGGTCGAAAGAGGAGGCGGGATTGTTGACGGAAGGAGCGAGCGAGGAGACCTGTGGATTTTTGAAGAAGTCGACACAGCACTGCTCGCCTCAATGACAGAATATTCTGTGTCTCCAATTGCACCATCTTCCTTTCTAATCGTGTCCCCATATGCAGCGTGGAGGTCCAAACTGAATGCATTGTCACTATTTGAGTTGACCGCTTGAATCGTACCGGGTGCTGACATGCTGAAGTCTTGCTCCTCACTCAGACTCAGCAGCTTTCTCTTCATGCCCCCTGTGGTTTGGGAACCTTTCTCAAGGTCCCATCCAAATGTCTCTGTATCCTCCCTTTTTCCACGCCGTCGGCCTCTCTCTTTTGATCCGTCGGTCCTTCCTCCGGGCATCTCCGCTCTCCTGGTTCCACTCTTTGCGTTTGTTAAGTCGCCGGAATCTTTGTCGTCGCCCCTAACGACCCTTGTCCTTGTCCGCCTCGGGTTTCCGCGCTGACCATACTCTGCCCTAGTCTTGGATTGGTAAGAATCTGGGCTCATGAGGGGGGCAGGTCGGTCCCTTCCCCTTGCCATATCGCTGGTGCTGATCATCCTCATGTTTGCAGATGCAGCTGGTAGTGCATACCCCAGTGTGGTCATGAGTGCTGATATAGACCCCAGCAGGCCGTCCAGCCCTGTGCAGAAGTGTAACAATGAGGTTTTGAGAGAGGGACAGAGAGTTGACCGAGCGAGCTCCCTCACGGCCGCCAAAAGAATAGAGTAAGCCTTCTGGTTTTGAGCCAGCCGCGCCTGGTTCTCCAGTCCGTGCCAAAGCTCCAGGCGAGTGGCAGCGCTGGGCAGGGACAGGGCAGTGCTGTTGGGCCGTGGAGGGGAGAAGTCTTTCTCGTTAAATGGAGGCCCCAGGTATGTGAGCTGTGGAAGGTAAAGAATACATTATAATAAGGTTTTAGTTTTATTCTCTTTTGTTAAAGGGTAATCCCTCTTTTTAGTTTGAATCGAGTTTCAGTTGAAGGAAATGCTCTGTTTGAGGTGATCTAATGAGGAAAGTTAGGTACCTAGTTTGTGTCCGTCAGAAAGTATACATTTTATTGTGATAGTGAGAAACGGCTACATGAGAACAGACATATTCTTGGATGTTGGGTCAATTATGCTGCTTTTAGTCAAGAAAAATATCTACGTCACGTCTTTGGGGTTTGAGAATAAATGATTTGGGAGCTTCATAGCTGCGCAAGCCATCTGTCTTTTCTGCATTGGCAAAAACTATATTTTTGTTACAGAAAATATTGTAACAAAATATTGTCACTATATTTAATTGTCTTAATTCAATCCAAATTCAGACAATTTTCATTTGCAGATATGAAGACTATACAATGAATTTAAATAAATCGATTTGAAACATTTCCGCGTTGAGAAATTGAGGTAACGTACATCCGCTTCTCTGAGCCTCCGTTGTTTAGAGTTTTGTGTAAACAATAGGAGAGTCTACGAAGAACAGTGTGTTTCCAGAAATGGCACAATTTGGATTATAGTGGCAGTGTACTGAGACTGAAACAGGAAAAAATGGTCTATTGTTTAATTTCCATGTTAGATATATTTCACACCCATAATCCATGTATCATTTGTATTATTTTACAATAACGGCTGTTAGTTTGAGATTTCAGAAAGATTTGATGATTTGATAATTTACTCAGTATGGTCTATTTCACAATGTTTACCTAACCCCTTTTTTAATAGTAATATGCACATAAAGTGATCAAATTGAATAATTACGAAACAGTGTGGGGCTGTCCTGTTTACTATGAACAGTAGTATGTTTTAATGAACCCCTGGACCTGAAGGGTTTAAAACCCCAAAAACCTGCAGGGCGAACATTAATCCTACACACTGTTCTCATTCATTAAAATAAAATGGAAAACTGCTTTCTGCTGTGTTGTTGCAGTTGCCAGGAAGCGCCCATGTTCTTCATTAGAAAATTAGGAGCATTACTTTCATGTTTGTATAAATAAATCGAACGCAAACCAAAACGTGTTAATTAGCGAGGAATTGGATCTTTTTAAAGAGACCATCTTTTGTCCATATGTCGACACACTTTTGGTGCTGGTGCTGATTTACACAATTACCTTTTAGCATGGGCCGTCTCAGCTGAGGAATCTGTGTTGATTGAGACATTTTTGTGTGTGTAATATTGTTAAAGTACTCACATATACGTCTTTGATCTCTTTCAGTTGATACTCCAGGTACTTGGTCAGCTCATAAGTACTTTCTATGGAGCTCCTCTCACTCGCATCCAGGGCCGAGGCCACAGCAGCGATCAGCAGCATCACCATCTGCATGTAGTGAACTGTGGAGACGAAAGACACAACACCGATGAAAACGGTCTTTAATGATGCTATCCTCTCAAATTCCTAAAAACTAAAACTATCTGCAATCACAACAATCAAGTGAAATACAGCACCAACACTTATTTAATTTTTGAATTCTAACCAATACAATAATGCACAATAATTCGAGCACTTCAAATTTCTCCTTAAGACCGTAGACCGTATATTAGGAGTGGACTGACCGATCACTGACGTTAACCATAGTCTTTGCTGTATGTGGAAAGAGATGATTTGAACATAATCTAGCTGGAGCATATTTCCTTACATGGGCATTTATTCCATGACGTCAGCTTTGCGCCGTTACAGAGGCAGACGGCTGTCTCTTGGGGGCAAGGCATCTGATCAGTCAATCCATATATGGCTCATATCTGAATTCACAAAGACTGGATCATAGAGAGCACTAAACCGCAGATGTCTCATGCGTGTCACAAACGGTTTACTTAATGTCATCAGGAGCCGGAGTAAGTTGGAGCAAAACTTTGTACATGAGCATTTCCGTACTAAGAAAGGGGGTTAGCCTTGTCCTTCTATATACAGTCTTTTATTTTTGGAAGCTTTGCCAATTTTTACGTACTTTTCAAATACATTTTGATTAATTTATTCTGATTCAATATATATATTAATAATAAATTCCACATAATTTCTAAGGTAGTCAGGTCATTTATATGAACTTTTGGTGTTCAATTCTAACAGTTTTGACTACAAATACTAGATAGAACAATGAAAATAGTCAATTATCGGTTTTATCAAGCAGCTCATTTTCTCAATTTTCGTACACTGCTGTTACTCTGTGCTTTTGTCAAACACTGATCTGTTAGACCATAATTTGCACATGTTTCGTCCTCGTCTCCAAATGCGTGACATGTGGCTTTCTTTGCAATCACAAACATTAATGCGTATGCATCAGTTGTCTGTTTACAGCCCTCTGCGCTGTTTAGGTTTGCCCTTGTTTGTGTACTGTAGGTGTTTCATGTTACAGAGTGTCTGTGAGAATGTTTGGATCCATAATTGAATACGGAGATTAAGTTCACATTTCTGTTCATACCTCAGTTTTGGAGATGTTTTTTGGCGTGTGTTTGAGTCGAGGTCTGTCACAGTGGACATCTTTTAGAGCTCTTTGTCTCTAGTTTCAAACAGAGAAAATGGGAGCTGAAAGTTTCTTTTCAACATTAGGCCAGTTGAAATCAGTCACATTTTTTCTCCTAAAATAACACACATTTTCTAACTGTCTTCACTCTGCGTCATCCTTTTTGTCCACCCTCGTACACTGTGTCACACACTGGAAGCCTGTGATTCACACGTGTAATTATGGACTAAACATGCCCTTCTTAAGCAGGTGAGATACGTACTGTATTGCACAATATTATGGGTTTCCCTAGAGCACACCTAGGGCCATTTTCAAGCTGCTCTGTAGTAATCTCTGCACTTTTCCCTTTCTTCTCCAGTTTCTGTTTAAGGTTAAATCCCACTTCGACTCCTCTTACCGTGTTCATGCTCCGGGTCAAAATAACAGTCGACAATTAACCCTGATTAGCTGCGCCAGCCCTCTATTTCTGCATATTCTAAAACCCACCCAGAAAGTGTAATGGATTCAGTGGAAGTCCCACATCAAAAGACACTTAGACATTCTGTGTAGTTTGTTTCTTTGAAAAGTCTGCACTTTGGTGCAATGACTAAGTATTTCTAAGTATAGGCAGTTCAAAACAGGGCAGGGTTGATACTTATATTATGCTTTAATCGCATCATTGCATAAATATGTAAACTTACATGGGTGTGTTTTCACCTTAAAATGTATAGACTTAAGAAAGTGTATGAATTTCCAAATCTTACTTCCTAATCTCTATCTGTGGTTACCTACAGTATTTTTTATATTATGAAAAATATGACAGTTGATTATCTTCTTGAATAAAACCAGGTCAATTCAACTTGCAGCCCAGGGGCCAAATCAGGCCCTTCAATCAATATGATGCACCGAGTATACGCCTCATCCACTAACTACAAATGACAACTTTTACAATTATTCTTTTGCAAATCAATATTAAAACAGCACATTTTTCTTAAAAGTATAGTCAAAATGTACATTTAACTGGCCCAGAGACCATTCCCTTCCAAAAAGTAAAAAGCCGGCTTAGACCAATTAATCTAATAAACACATCCGACAAAATAACTGTGCAGCCAACTTGATTATATAATTATATAAATATTCCATTCACAGGAGACTTTGGCCATGCTGCAACATTGTTCCTTTATATACGTGATGTATCTGTCACCGTATATTTTACATTTTAGATATTGTCTCACTTTCTAAAGCATAAAAGTGACAAAGTAAAAAGCCCCACTATAATTTTCAATGGCCCAAAAATATGGGCCATATTAAAATCAATTATCAAATTAAAAGAAAGTTCTGTAACCTACTTCCCTTATTATTATTATTTTTATTCTTATAATGTATTTTTGTTGTTTATAATAAAATAAATAATGTTATAACAAAATGAGTTTATAATAAAAATAAATAAAATTAAAGCCGCAAGCGGCGTCGAACGGCCCTCGCCGCACCGCGCGCACCACCTGGTGGCACGCCGCCCCGCACCAAGCCACCCCACACCAAGCCACCCCGCACCAAGCCACCCCGCACCACGCCTCCCTACACCACGCCGCCCGCACCAAGCCACCCCGCACCACGCCTCCCTACACCACGCCGCCCCGCACCAAGCCACCCCGCACCACGCCACCCTACACCACGCCGCCCCGCACCAAGCCACCCCGCACCACGCCTCCCTACACCACGCCGCCCCGCACCAAGCCACCCCGCACCACGCCTCCCTACACCACGCTGCCCCGCACCAAGCCACAACGGGCCGCTCCACAACGCCCCACACTACGCCGCACCACACCATACCACGCAGCACCGCGCAAAGGAGGTGGCGCCGCCGTGTGATTATTTGTTCCCGTAGCCATAGAAGAATGTTAGTCAAATTGTAAAGAATATGATAAGTAGAGCTGGTTTGGCTCCCCATGTGAACTTTGCTTCAGTCTGTAAGGGGCGCTAATGGGCCAATTTCAAATATTTCACTTTCACCTGACCTAAACCCTGGAGTTAAACAATGGATCCAAGTTTAATGCAAATCAGACTTTGTTTGTGCAAACGGGAAAAAAATTATGTTGTCAAAAACGGCCAAAAAAACCCTCACATGTTGCCGCTAACCCTAACCCTGAGGTCATTTTGATGGTACATGTGTTTAGACAATGTGGAATGATATGGAGGCCAATCGGTGAAACGGCCGAGGAGGAGTCGCTTTCCAACCGACATGTATGAAAAGGATTGCGGATCATTTTTCCATTTTGCAGTGAAATTTATGGGCCTCCTGTCTGTCAGAGGGCGAAGCCATGATAACATTTCGGTCGTATCTTGACTTGAGGAACATGTGTACCGAATTTCATGGCTCTACGACAAACTTGACCTCTGAAACTCCCATTGGCTGTTGTAGGTGGCGCTGTTCTGGCATTTTTTGAGTCCCATAAAAATAAACACCCAAATATCAAATTTTTCACCAGGTCTGATGTTTGGGCAAAATTTTACAACTTTTCATGCATGTTCAGGGGGTGAAATTAAGGCTCAAAGTGCAGAATTTGACATCTCCCGAGCAAAAACAATAGGCCCTTTCCCCGTTCGGGGCTCGGGCCTAATAAATATGGATTTCAAACTGACCTGGATAACAAGAGCCTGTCCTGACAGCGCCCTATTTTGAGAACCACTAATATTGTGGAAAACATAGCTCTAAATCTCTTATTTAATAATAGAAGATGCCGGTGGATTTGAATGTGGCCTGGTACATGTTATTCTTGTATCGAGGCAATGTTCGGAAAAATAAAGCTGTGCGAGCATATTGAAAAGTTATCCCGGGTTTATGCGACAAATTGAATAATAGCTTGGGAATCCGACAGTTTGAAATTAAAAAGGGATAAACTTGACTGACAGTAACACAAAACCGAACAAACAATCCCCCGAAGCAGAATGTTGAAAAAGTCAACGTTAATAGGTGGTAATTCGCCCCTCTACCTGTTCCGCCTTGCTAATCGGTGACATCAAAGCGCCCAGAACTATTATCGAAAACGCTGTGGTTGGGCCGTGGACACTCCCACTGGCTCCCACACACACCTTCATGTACTCTATGTTCTGCACTCCTCACCTGTCACCAGCATTACATGTTTTACAGTGACATTTGGAGCTCGTCAAGCCGCGCATTCCAGCTCCACAACACCAAAACAACCCCCTAATCACCAGCGTAAACAGCCTGGAAGCACAGAATCTCATACGCGTAAACAGGTACAAAAGTAAGGAGAATCTGGGGCGAAAGAAAAGAAAATTGTCCAAAATTCAACTTGAAGTATTTCCTTTCGTCTCTTGCCACATGTTTTTGGGAGATGATTGCCAGGCGAGGTTCTTGTTTTGACTGATCACTGACATGTCTGAAAACATCCTTGGCTGCGGCCTAAACCGTAGGAGATAAGTCAAATTCAGATAAATTGTTATATAATAATATATTGAGTAAGTGGAGTGACTTCAGAGCGGGCCCTGGGGGTTCTGGGCGGGGTTGTATGGGCTGTACCTGGCAGGGAGGCAGGGTTGAATCAAGAACTTTCTCTGAAGACAGATTGCGTTACAGTGGCACAGGGGGTCCCTAAATCAGCCGACCGTGACCTGATCCTCGTGTGGGTCTCCATGTGTTTTTGGGCTTGTGTTGGCCCAAGATGCATTTTATAAACAAGAGTAAGCAAAGAAAACAGGGGGAAATGTAGAAATAAATCACATTTTGCGAGCATTGAAGCTTTGTAAATAATTCAAAAATCAGAACATCTAAATGTACTGGCATGTGTCTCCTGTACAGACAGGAGACACATGCCCACAATTGTAAACCGCTTTGTGACTCTGGTTTGTTAAAGGCGATATATAAATAAA